ATGGGAAAATCTAGACCGCGGTCAATATCGATTTCAGCCAATCAAATTCGTGAATTCGGTAGCTTCCAGTCCTTGTGAGACACAGCCATATGATAAATAACGATATTAGACGGTCTACAAGAGTCGACTTTGTCTTCCTGACGAAAAGCAAAATAAAGAAGGCAAGATAAATCTAAAGCTTTTTAAGGCCATCGCCTCTCCTTTTGGTAAATATGTCGACCAGCAGCCATTCATTTCTCTTAGGACCAGACAAGCGTTTCCCGGGGGGTTCCGATATAATAATAAAAGGATGGGGGTGGTCGTCTGAAATTTTGAAAAGAACCCCTAAGAGGTACCAAGATCCTGTTTCGTGGGCGTCAATTGAAATTTTTTTCTCCCTAAATTGGTACAAATTCTTACATAACACATTATATGCTGTCAAAGTTTTTTCGGCTCAAAAAAAAAAATGTTAATTCATTAATTTCTGGTAATTGGACTGGGTGGAGCACAATTTAGGGTATAATCATATTGGTAAATTATCACAGTCGAACCACCTCTCCTCAGTGACCAGTTTTCCAAAATACCAAAAGTTCCCCAGTCAAATCGCTATATTTGGAATCTCTTGTAAGCGACCACCTCTCGTAAGTTTGAAATTTTCTTTTGTTTTTAACCGCGACCACTTGACAGACAATAGAGTGTAAATTGGATTATAAGGTGTTGCGCAAAACCTGCAATAAGCGGACACTTCAAGGGCTTTTTACTTCTGAAAGCTCAGCTCAGACTCCTTTAACATTGTTCAGCGATGTCGTTTTAAAGCTAAGTAGATTATTCCAGATTGATGCATTGACTGACTGCACGTTGTGCTATGAGCAGTCTTTGATCTTACACTGTGTTACAGTGAGTTACAAAAGGTTTAATTATTAACTATTATTATATGGCCAGCTCCTTGAGCGAGCAAGACGAATCAAATCCGACGATGTGATTGGCTACCCGAGCTCTGGACAACCCGCCGTGTCCCGCAAGAAACATTTCCCCGAAAGCCATATAATAAATCATTTATTGACCAAGCATGTTCGGTCAAGATGGCTGGATATTGGCCTCGTTCTTTTTTTGCGAGTTTATGGACCTCGACTCCGTCTCGGTCCATATATAAACTCGCAAAAAAAGAACTCGACCAATATCCAGCCATCTTGACCTCACACTTGGTCAATAACCCATATTTATTGCTCAATATATTAGAACCTCCTTAGAGAAGACACCCTGTATTAAGCGGGCACTAGTGAGGGTCCCAGATCCCAAGCGTGTCCGCTTAATACAGGTTTCACTTTACCTTCATGGATTGAGGGGGATTTGATGGATTTAATTGATTAAGTGAATTTCTCTAAGCTTCACCAAATAATGTATTTTTGTTAAAAAGAAATAAAAAAGAATCAAACGAAATAATTGGGCACATTGCTTGACTACTCACTATCTATTTAACAATATGAGCTCGAGATTTCAATCGCGTGATAGTTGACGAGGGCGTCCGAGTCAACTACCACGCATAGAAATCGAGACCGAAGAATCTAATTGTTTTAGTATAAATCTACCAGTTGTTAAAAACTTTATCTAAATCCTCTTCCAGGACACTTCGAAAACGCAAAGAAGCGACTGTCACTTTGTTAACAAGCGTACACTGCTACGCTACTCACTATCTACTAAACAATTAGGTTATGAGCTCGACATTTCTATCACGCATAGAGATCGAAAGCGAATAATCTAATTGTTTTAGTATAAATGCACTAGTGGTTCTAAATCCTCTTCACAGACACTTCGAAAACGCCAAGAAGCGGTCGTCATTTTGTTAGCTACGCTAACTCACTATCTACAGAATAGATAGCGTGAGTAGCGTAGCCAATCAGGCTAGAGAACAGCATTCGTGATAGAACGCTTGTAAATTCATATCAAAACTCGATAGAAACGCGAAAAATGATTAATTTTTTGTTTCAAACGAACCAACGAATGAAAACATCAGTTGTATTCTCTGAGTAGAACTCGATGAGGGATTGTTAAATTATTTCTCTCATCAATTGGTATTAGCCGTAAGGCTTAATTTGATTGTAGCTAGTACATACCCGGGAGGGAACGGGGGGTGGGGGGCTCCTATATAAAATGGACGGTGGTGCTTGTCGTACCTTTTCAGGAGTAAAAAACGCGGTTATGGTACCTCTTAGAGTGTTTAGAAAAATATGACAGGAGATTTTTAGATAATGTGTTATGTAAGAATTGGTGCCTCTTAGCGGGGGAAGATTTCATGCCACGCTCAGGAAAAAAAAAAAACGGTCTTGGTACCTCTTAGGGGTTCTTTTCAAAATTTCCGACGAACACCCCCGCCCTTTTTATGTGGGAGTCCCCCGCGGGGTAAATACTACCGCATCGTTAGCACTATTTATAAGCCAATTTTTCAAACTGTTAGTTGTCGCTGATACGACTACCATTTAAAGTAAAACTCATAGAACCATAGATGATTGATGAATGACTAGAGTAAGTTACTATTATTATAGCATGGCGTTTTTTTTCTTTTGTTCGACGAAAACCTAGCGTGAAAACATCTGAGTCATATTTATTTTTGTTCGTGGATCATAATGGTTGATCACTAATTAAGGTATGATCGCTTTGTTTCTGAAAATTCTTTGTTTGTATTCTTTTCCGGCAAGTTGAGTGTTTTCGCTTTCTGAATTTCCCTCCGTCTCTAGGTCTTGCTTTAATGCATCATGGCAGTCACGTACGAGTAGAGAGAGTAATTGTAAAATCGTTAATACTTTTTCAATCCCTTGTCTTTGCTGCTGTAGTTTTGTACAATTTAAAAAAATCGAAACTGCATGCCGCGAACGCTAACAAAAACAAACTAAGAGAACAATGGGGTGCCTTAAGACGAAATATTTTGCGGTCACGGACGAAATCACGAAAAGGAAATTGCAAAGTTTAGAAAACTTTCTTGTTCAATAACATGTTAATCTTTTACGTAATTGATCTTGATAGCCGTGCCAGGCCATATAATATTAATCAGTCTGTACTTAGGAAAGTGTGAGTGGAATATTGGTATGCTCTGGAAATCACAAAGGTATGCAGCATAAAATTAGATAACAAGGGACAAAGGAAGAATCAAGGACGACAAAGGATATGCGGTCCATTTTTTCCCTACGTAAAAATGGTTTTCAAAAATGACAGGGAACAGAATTCACCAAGAGATGGTAACAAAACAAGTTGTTATTCCTCCCAACTCAAATACGTTTCCAATTAGAGGAGAACGTGTCACGTGTCATGGATCATTACTCACTGACTCCTTATGGAGAACAAAACTCACTAACGGCACTCAAGAAACAGCTACTTGAGCTTTAGACTTTCACGTGATCACTTCGTGCAGCTTGCAATCGCGGCAAATTTATGTGGCAGCCGGCGTCAAACAAATATTGTTTTTGCTGTCTGTTCTATTTTTGAAAAACCCTTCTTTGTGGCATTAAGTACTTAATGACTGGCCCCACTGGAAACAGCAAGTTTTGCTTGTCTTATTTTCCACGACCCTCGTAATCGAGGGTCTTCGTGATGCAAATAAACTCACTGTTTCCCCTGGGGCTAGTCATAAAGTCCTTAATGCCATAAAGAACGTCAAGATTAGGAAGAACTTTTGGTCACAGATTTCAAACAAGCGCAGTTCATGGTAAAATTTAGTAGCTTTTGTTAAACAGCTTTTCCGCTCGAAAGTGCTTCACTTGACAATTGAAAAATGTGCCCACGCTGTTTTTCATTTCGTTTCTTGTTCCCTTAGCTGCAAGTTTGAAATTGCAAAAACAAACTCTCGCCACATGCAGATTTCTGCAATTATTATGTTATCCATCTCGCCAAGCTTAGAACAAGCGGAGGCCGTGGAGACCAAAGTCTTTGGGGCCAACATTGAAAAATGTTTGTGGTTAGCATATAGAGGTTGTTCGCTACTCGGTTTTAAATAAATAAAAACGTTTTCAAACAAATGCAAAAAGTGTTTTATTTCTTTGACTGAATGAGACTTTTTTACAAATTTCCTCCTTTAGAGTCCATACGTAAAAAAGAAAATACGGAGTTTAATAAAGCAGTAAACTTCTTCAAACTCTGATCCAAATAACCCAACGGATTTCAGACTTTCGCTCAGAATTTCTAGTTGCTTTTATCCAATCAGATCAGTGTGGCTGATAAGCTTTCTGAAAGCGTGTGGTGGTGTTACGTAATAACATTTTTATCTGAAAAATCCCAATTCTGGCTCGGCCAGTTTTGTTTTAATTTCGAGTTTAAAATGTGGCTAAAGAGATGTGGATCTCTTCACTACTCCTGTTCTACGTGTTTTCTACTATAAAGGTAAAAAGAGTTCCGTGATCTTGACCGAAAGTCTTCACGAACACAGAAATCTTCTCCCGATACTAAACAGCGACCTCTAACTTGACATAAATACAAAAGCGTGTTTCACAATTTGCAGCAAGCTGGACGATAAAATCAGTGGCTGACCTAGACTCACTGGAGGCCAAAGAAGACAGTGATGAACACGATCAACAACATTGCAATGAGCTCGGGGCGGAACACTTGAGCAGTTGCGGTGGTTGTTTCCATTGTAGTTCCTGTGGCATTACTCACGGTCTCGGATGGAGGCTCCGTAGGGATAAAGTCTGCATTGCAAAGCGAGGTGTTACAGCACTGCGTGTTACACGTTTCAACAGTAAGATTCGCCGCGCTTGCTGTCGTTGTCACGTTCTGGCATAGCTCCATTTTGTAGGAGGTACAATTGTGGGGTTCCTGAAAGGATAAGGAAGTCAGTTAAAACAATAGTCACTTTCCAATTTGTTTTAATTCTTGAAAATAAAGATGGATTAATTTGTCCAGGGATTTCGAGTGAATAAACTTAAGTCAGTAAAATGTATGCACAGAGAATTCTAAAACCTATTTATGAGGAACTTTCTTTCCCATTAGTAGTAACAATAGAACTAACACATCACTAGCTGGAATGCTAAAATGTTTTGCTTACCGCTTACAGTAACAATTTTACTTTTTTGTTTCCACCGCCACGATCCTCTTAAAGATGTAAATGCAGTCCGAAATTCATCAAGGAAATTTCGTCCCTGGCATTTTTAAACATGTACGTCCGTTTGAATTCACGTTAAAATCTACTCGACCATATTAAAGTAAGCGCAACGTACTGAAGAGGAGGTAAATAAGTTTCCGGCAGGGCATACACTTCAGGCTCAATACGAACGAAACATTTTACGACCTAAAAATTTTATCTACAAATAAATTGCAATTCGTTTGTGAAATTTTTGTACGTACCTCAACACATCCCAGAACATAGGCCATTGCTTCGCCGGTTTCATTAGCCTTAAGCGTTGTTGTGGCACACGTCGCGTTGGCACCCATACACGTCTGATTAGTATATTCTGCCATTGTGGAACACAACTTTAAATTCGTTAGGCTTCCCATACAGTGATGGCAGGTTAAGCCCAGAGCTAAATTAAAGTAAAAGTTGATAGAAGTTCAGGTTAACACATACTATACTTGTTACCACTCTGTAAACCTTAATTGACATTGAAATAAGAAGAAATAACATCTTAAAGACATGTTTACACATCACAATAAATGTTAAATTTTATCTTTGTTAACAAGATCTGTAAAAGTTGTTTCAGGGCTCTCAATGGCCAATTTCCTCCTTGAGACGTGCTCCCAAGGAATCATGGTAGTTGAATTCATCGAAAGAAATGTCCAGTCCAAGACGATGAACACAGCTACCATGATTCCCTGTAGGCGTATCTCACAGAAGGATCTAGCAATTGTTTACAATGCCCCGTATTATAATAGAATCCAATCAGCAAGAATATAACTAGTTCATAAGCCCCTCTTTCTAACCTTTTCCCTCTTCCCAACACTGTTACAAAAGAAGCTTGTTATTTTGAGTTGAAGCATACAACCCTGTCCGTAACCATCTCATGCAGTGGAGATCATATCTGGCTGGGTTTGTTTTATTCAGCGTTGCCACTGGAGGCGCCAAAACACTTCAGCGTCTCTAAATTAAACTCTTCCAATTTCCTTCGCCCAAAGCGATTCTCACAGGAGGGGGCGAAAATCTACCTTTCAAATTTACATATATAAAAACCGTTCACACTTTCATAACCTTTTCTTGGCTTGTGATTTTCTATTTGATAACAAACGGTTGTTATTTTAGCATGAAATCCACTGTCCACTGTCGACTGTAAGGAATTGCTTTGTTTTCTACTGATTTATGTTCAACGAGAGCCCAGTTTTAGCACGAGGGCTAACTAAGTCAAGCGGAACAACATGTTGTAGAATGTTCTAAGCTGTAAACACCGGCCCGGTGATGTAAAATAGTTTGAGGAACTATAATCCGTCGAAATCTTGTAGAAATCGTGGTGGAAACAAACAACGAAAACAGCAAAAAAACAACCAAACAGATCGCAAACAGTTCTGCGTTGCTTAGTTCTAGCACCCCCGCCAATGTTAGATCAAAATTGCATGAAAATTTAATTAGCCTTTTCTCGAATATTGAAGCCAACATCGACGATGTCTGTTGTTAGCTAGTTTTACCGTAGGAAAATTTGTCCTTTATGGACAGATATGGCTCATTAACTGCTCGGTTGTTATATCAAGCCGACCGTCCGCGGTAAAAGCAAGCCGACTGTTTTCCAGCTCTCATTTAGTTTTCGTGAAATCGAACGATGATATGCAACTGCGTGCATGCGGAATAATCTCTAAAATTTTCGAGTTTGACGAGAATTCCGCCCTTCTTTTTTGAACCTTAGTGGCAGAGTAAACTATCCTATTTGATTTAAGTTTCTTTTGACAGTAATTACATGCGGCCACTGAAATTTATCCTTTGAGCGTTATTCGGGACTTCAAAACATTTTTTTAAAGTACACCTTGAAATCGGGAATGAAACAATGGCAGAAAAGGTACAGACGATATTTGAAGCTTCTCCAGGCTTGGAGGTGATTCTTTTTTTTTTTTTTTTTATAAAATACAAGGTTAACTTCAGAAATATTGAGATAAGAGGGTTGCAGGGGCGGAAGAAAGAGGATTCTTGATTCATATCGAATTTGCACCAAAACGGAGATAACAGTCTTTAGATCGGTGAGTCAGACCGTGAACGAGTCTTTTTTTAGAAAGAGCTTGAACCTGGTCTACATTATAAAGTAACTCTGATCATCAACGTGTTATTCCAGCGTGCACCGAACCGGCGGATTAGGGTTCTTTGAACGTGTTCGGTTTGCAATACTAAGCTAACCATTCGAACATAAACTAACTAAGCGAAGAAAGTTCAAAACAGTTAAACTTACCACTCGGTAGCGCACAAAGGGCAAGGACAGCGACAAAGAACATGGCTGGATTCATCGTGTCTTCTTCGGCAAGCGTTCGCGGAACGGTCTCTAGCCAGCGCCCAGTTTCGTGCAACTGATCTCAGTAGATGTAGCAGCGACACAAATAGTATGCTAATGTAGGCCTGCGTTTTCATCAATAAGGTTCTATTGATTGACGGCACTCAACCGCATGACTCCAGCCAATGGACCAATTGGCGTTGGAGTACTTTATTGAACCCGTCATTATCCAAAATTTAATTTGTTCGCTATTAGGCGGAGAAAATGCAATGCTTTGTACACGGCCCACGCCAGGTGTTTTTTGTGGATGCTCGAGCTAGAAATATTTTAAATCTGTCTAATCGACAAAAATATCAAGACACAAAAGGGAAGTTAGCTTTCGGTAAAGGGCTGGGTTTAGCCTTTCGGGGCTTGAAAAAACAAAATGAAAACGTCGGTTGTTTTAATTGCCCCAGGGAACTCTGCATATTGTTGAAAGCAAGCAATTTCGAATTAACTAACGCATATATTAAAAGAACCAATCTTAATCAAAGCAGAAGTATTTCGAAAGAGTACGAGCTCTTCCCTTCGAGGAAACCAATTTGGCCCCTCCACTAAAAGAATGTTTGGACGGAATCTACGAACGGTTAAGGAGTGCTTTCCGTTTCATTTTCGCGTTAATGGGTGACGCGGCTGGAAGCCAGAGGCCAAAGACCGTAATGTTTATAAATAGACAGTGCTGAAAGGGAAATTTGAAAATTGAAATGATTTTACTAAATCATACTTGGTCAGAATAACGGTCCAACTTTGAGACTTTTCAACTTACGTTCTTGTTATATCTCATGTTTTTGGTCCCTTATATGCTTACAGTTCTATTCATCTTAACTTGCACAAGTATTGACAAAGACGGTTTCTTTGGAATCTAATCTCTTTATTAATTCATATGCGAAGAGAACCTTACTCAGTTTGACGCGAAAGAAATCATGTTCTTGTAAATAAAATAAAATGGATTTGGAACCAGGAAAAAGCTTTATTTCTCCCTTTCGGTCCACAGAAAGTTCCGTTTTAGTGCATCTTGGCGAGCACAAGACCAGTTGTACGTGTTTGATCTTAGCTGGGACTCGGCGGACATATATTGTGTCTCATAACGCCGAAGTGAACCAATTTACAACATTTTAAATATATCAGGCTAAATCGAAGGTCAGTTGATCGCTTGGGCCCATGAGTTTACTGTCACACGCATTTGATAATGGCTCGCTCCTGAACGCAGATTACAATCGGCAAAAACCGCTATGAAAGACAAACAGCAGTGACTTTCTTACCTATATCCCGCGTTTATTTCATCGCTTCGAGGTTTAAATTTCGAAACCTTCTTCTACTAAAAAGAGTTCTGCGTACCAATGTGAACTCAATTTTCCTCAATATTTTAGCACTAGCTGTGTCTACAAGATTCCGGTTTATTAAAATGTGACAGATTTAGCAAAGAACGAGTTATACAAAAAAGTAACAAACATTAATATAAAAGTATCAGAGATAAAAGCTAAAGAAAAACCAAACGAAACGGCAGACTTAGTTGATTGGGTTTTACCCATTTTTAAAATTTACATCCTTCAATTTACATACATGTATATTGTAACAGAAGAGAAATAATCACCAAACTATAGATAAATTTATGTGTAATATTTGCTCTGTGAATTGAACTGTAATTTCCGATCGTTGTTGTAATTTGTTTTGTCTTTCGTTAGTTTCGTTCTTTGCTTACATTTGTAAACTTATCATTACCTCCAGACATACACGGTCGCGTTTGGTTTTATTGTCTGGGCAGTAGTTATCTTGGACTGGGTAGCTGATATTTTAATTTGTTACAATATACAGCAAATGTCGTCAGGAACATAAATTCATTGTATGGATCTTAAATGCAGAGTAATTTTAAAATTCATTAAAGTTGACATGGAAGGGAACTTCTCTTTAATTAAGGGTCAGTATTTCGCACAATATCCGTAATTTATTTATGTTGCTTGTTATATTATGCAAAGTGGCGTATTTCCAATTAACACCATTATTTACATATCCCTTGAGCAATATCTTGAACTTTATCTTGAACGGAAGATCTAAATGTTTAGCAATTTCTTTTTGTTGGTAAAACTCGACTATTAAGTTGTTTGTTTTGCTATAGATCTCATTGTTCACTTGTCACTGATTATTATCGCAGCATCCGGAGCACATAAACAAATACGTAAAGTGCAATGTTTGATTTACATTTAAGACCTCTTTGAGTTACCCTGAGTTACCTTTGAGTTATACCTGCTACGACGAGGAGGGCGTAGGGGCCTATTAGAAACCGAAAAACCGCGCGAAAAATCGCCGAAAATTGAAATAAAGCCGTCACTGACAAAGCTTTGATAGGCTTCAGAATCTCTCTTTCTGTTATTTGATTTTTATATGTCTAAAATTGTCGTAATTTCCGAAGTTTTTTTTACGTCTTCCCTCGTTAGTGCTGAACTCGTCGTAGTCTAAAAAACTGCTTATTTGTTTGTAAATCGGCTCGACAGACCTATAGCAATGTGAGACTAGAAAAAATTGCACGGTCAACTGATTTTAGGTAATTTTTGTTTAAAAGAAACACGACATTCTGAAGTTGCTTTTTGATTGCCATTGTAAGACTTTTCATTTGTGTAGGAACAATTGCAGCCGTATTTTAAAACCAAACTACTTTATTTTACAACCAAACTAACAACCTCTCCTTTGCTGTTATTATACGTGAACGGAGCGGGTGAGCGCAATGTTGTTCCCGCCACGAAAAGGAGAGAAACTCGCAATCGAGCAATGAGAAATTTTCTCGATGGTTCACAGTCTAAGGTTAAAATCTACAAGATATTATCCCAGCTGCGTGATTATACGAGAAATAGTCTTTTGCTTTGATGTTATCTTTAGCCTTTCACAGTCTGCTTGGCAGCCGTTACGACCCAAATAACGGCTACTAAAGAGACTAGGCTTGGCATGCATTCCTCTTAAAGGAAGTCTAGGTGCAAAGCTTATAAGAGATCCCTTAGAATTACAGTTTAGCGCCACTCCAGGGTGTAACTTCCACGGTAAAACCAGAAAAAAACATTAAATGCATTGGACAGAAAAATCCAAAAAACCGCCATTAGTGTTGACAAAAACCGAAAACCAAAGACTAAATTGGAGAAAACCCGCAAACCGCACTAGACACCAAAACCGAAAAACCGCAGTTTTTAGTGCGAAAATCGAAAGACCGAACCAAAAATCGGCCAAATCCACAAAACCGAAAATCCCACCGCCCCCCTCTACGAGGTTTTAATCAACAATACAAAAGACGATAGGAGAGTTTCAGATCTTTGAGAGTCCTTAATTGCTGATATACTGTTGGACTAACACGAGACAGCGAAGCTGCACGTTTGGCACTGAGTAACGATTACCATGCAACGAGCCGGTGCTCTACATAGCTTTCCCCTAACCAAGTTCGACCGACCGTTATCCGTACAGTTAACAGCGCCCAAGCTGATGGTTTGCATCCGTTCCTCAATAGACGTGTAGGTCCGCACAGATGAACCACATTCCGTTTCAGATCATTCCATTTAGCTTTCTCAGCTTGTATTTATGAGTTATTGACCAAGCGTGAAGTCAAGATGGCTGGATATTGGCCTCGTTCAAAAACGAGGCCAATATCCAGCCATATTGACCTAACAAGCTTGATAAATAAAGGACTTATTATATGCAATGAGAACAGTATTTTCTTGTGGCACAAGGTAGCCCGTTCCGGTAGCCAATCTCAGGGCAGGATTCAGTTCATCTTGCCCGCTCACGGAGCAAGCCATATAAGAAATGAACTTTCTGCCAAGGTCTTTCGGTTTGAATGTTGTGATTTTCAATTTTGATAATAAATTCATTTTAGAATTATCAGTGCAACACGATATTGCGCGAATCGGGGCCATTTACTCTTAATAACTCTAAAAAGTTTAACCATTAACGGTACACTCGGATGGGCTTGTTAGACGATAATGGTGTATTATTGCGTTTTATTGGCTCTGTTTTGTAAATAAAACAAACATGAAATTCCCCCAAACCTCCAGCGAAACTTTTAGGAGAATTCGAGGGTACTTTATGGAAACACTAGCCCGCGTCTTGGGTTTACTATCTCGTGTTTTTGCATATGACTACATAAACACGTGGACAATTTTCCATTCCGCAAACGGTGGTTATTTTATGATAATCAAACGCCTGGCCTGGGCTGCCTCGTGTCACTTGTTTAGATAAATAGATAAATAAATCGTTTATTAAAAAAACACACCTAGAAGGCATGCGACTGAATTACGTGTGAAATGTATATGCCACTGGTGAATGGCAAGAAAAAATTATGCCAATGAATTATATCGAGACGAAGATATCCACTGCCAAACCAAACAAGTGTAATGCAAGCGTAAGGCGAGAGCAAGAAGACAGAGTACATTACTTCCGTTAATTTTACGACTGAAATTCGATCTGTCTCGATCTGCTCCGATCCAACCGTTATTGACAATTAATTTTCGTAATTTATACCTCTTTGCTTACTCTCAGAAAGTGCGCATTATATGATAGTTTTAATCAGTTCATTGCGATCCCTAGATTTTCCTTAGGTTATGGTTGCATCTTGTTTTCTGGGACTTCAGTATTGTCATGGATTGCCACGCAGTTTCGAATTCCATGTCTTTCATTCCAGGAACGTTTACGTCGCTCTGTATTGGAGACAATTTTAAGCTCAATTTTGTTGTTTGTTGCTTTATCTCGTGGAATGAAATGATACTGATCTCAGAGGAATCGAAAACCAGCCAGCCGGGTACTCTCACGCTAGCCTGTACACAGGCTACTCTCATGCTAAAAATAAAATGTAAAGTTAACAGAATGCAAGCGTTACACTTCGGTAGCATTACGAATGCAATTACCTCTGGCCTGATGCCGTGATTTGACCCAATGGTGGTATGTACACAGTGAGATATTGATCATAGCCCTAACAATTAATTTTTGAGAGTTATACCCGTTTGCTTATTCGCAGAAAATGCACTTTAGAGGTTAGTTTTTAATCCACTCATTGTCATCTTAAGATTTTTCTGCGTG